AGAGATGATGAATATGATATGTTTAAACTAGACAAACTCTTGCTTATAATTCTTGAAGGGAGTGTTGCATTTTTTTTCTGTTTCAAGACTTAAATATCCTCATATTATGACAAATCTCTGTTTGTATTATCTTGGGTTAAAATTAAACATTTTAGGAATTTACTGAATAAAAATGGAGACTGTATAGCTCCACAAAATACATACAGGATATTATCAGAAGCTCTTTTTTTTTTCAGTTTGAGGTTCATAGATGACCCCCAAGTCTTTTGTACATCTGGCTCAATACAACCAACAATACACTATTGTTTATTGCTGCATACTCAGTCTTTTGTTTAAATAGATTTCAAACAATACAGTCGTGATTATGGTCTAATTATAAGACATTTGTTTGTACAAAATCCCAAACAGTTACTTTAGAAACAGATGGGAGATTACTGGTTACAAAAGTGGAATTCTGAATCGTCAGTTCTCACTTTTTTTTTATATAAAAATAGGAGTTATTGCCACCATTAAATTAGGGATGTATGATATTGGATTTTTGGCCAATATCTGATATGCCGATATGTTAAAACTTATTTTGCCGATAACCGATACCAATACTGATTAGGAATGTGTGATATGGCATAAAATTCATATCACGATATGTATCGTGAAGGATGACGATAACGATATATATCGCAATATGTTTTTAGTATAAAACTCGCTAACAAAAAGCATAGGGTGTCTTTTTGCCATCATATGTTTTGAATTAAGAAAATTCCACTACTAGGTCCAGAGAGTTTTTAAATAATAAACAAATCAAGTATTAGGCTTCTTTCTTGTAGTGCAAAACAGTGCAAACGATATCAAATGTAGTTTTAGCCAAATGTTTTAAACAAAAAAACATGTTAACTCTTTACAGTTTCCAGTCTTACTTAAGAAATGAACAGCAACAGAGCAGCATTTTACACTGAAACACTTCACCCTCCAAACCTCTAGTGGGCGACTCCTTCCGCTTTAATGGAGAGCGGACACAAAATGAGTCTGTGGCTTTGGCCAGAGGGTCTCGCAGCAAAATCACACAACACAGCATTCTTTTCACAGATCAAAGAGCAGGTTTTTCTAAAGCTGACCAACGCATACTTTAACTTTCGACGGAAAAAACAAAACAAACTTTCGACGGAACACAGCGTGTTGCGCATGCGTCAGAATACGGCAACACTACAGCAAGCCGGCTGTAGTTAGCTTGCAGCTTCGCCACTTGGCTCTCGAAGAAAAGACTTTAACGCCACTTGCGCACAGTTTTCAGCTCAACAAAAGTAACGATTCAATCTGACAGCTCTGATTTTACACTTGGAACACCACTTATGCACAGTTTTCAATAAAAAAAAAGTAACAATTTAAACTGACAACTCTGATTTTACATCAGACACAGCATTACTGCGGTTAGCCGGTAGAAGACAGATCTCTATCGTAGGCTAAATTTCTATTGTTTCTACCGTGTACTGTTTATATCGCACATTCCTTATACTGATATATATTCTTTCCTAGACCTACTTACAAAGACTACATAGCTTTATTTGCTGTGGAATTAAAATACTACATTATTCTGCATGGTTTTTCTCAGTTTGGCCTGCCACCAAATGCAAATGCCAAAAATGGGGCTGAAAATGATGCAACACTTCATCTTGGATTATGTTTAATGTCTCATTTATTCATGACATTTACTCGAACACAATGATAACACTCGAACAGTGCAAATTTTCACAAATCTAAACTCAACGGCACGTGTTATGTCATAACCTTGTGCTGGCGCTGCAGGCATCCTTGTCACTGGGTTGTCAAACAAAAACAGCGCCTTTTATATCGTGAGCTATTTTGATGGAATGGCCGATATCTGATATTTAACTTTATCGCTAATGTCAGCCGATACCATGCCGATAAAATCACATATATTTAAAATCGTGCATCCCTACATTAAATATATACTGCAGATTTTTTAAAAGGTTTTAGTTCTGATCTAGAAGGTATTTTAAGCAGATTACATGAACCAAGTGTCTCAATTGCTTTAAGTGTTAGGAGCTGCCATAAGAAATTATTGTAGATGTTGGAATAATTTTACCAAAATGATTGAAAGCCTAAAGATGCAAACAGCCCCCCAAAAACCTTTGAAATTAAACATAACACCCCAAGACCTTTCATACAGTGGAGTGTAACACAAAGTGCATAACGGCAGATGAAACCAAAACAGCAACAATACAAAAACAACATGTAAGTTAATTTCAAACAGTGATAATTTGTTAAAAAGTGTGACGTTCGGCTGGTGAGGACAAGGCAGCAGGCAGGCAGGTATGAGCTAAAGGTTTTAATTATGAAAATGAAGAACAAGCAGGCAGGCAGCTAAAACATGACGACCACAACGATGACAAAAATCCCCTTTCATAAATCTAAAACAGTTAAGTCTGGTCCTCTGGACATTCAAAAAACAAAACAAACAAAAAGGTTTTTTGAATGTCCAGAGGTCCAGACTTAACTTTTTTAGATTTTTCTACCTGGATTATTGAGCATGCATCAGGACACCCATTTCATAACGACTCAGTAAAACCAAAAGGCTTACATATGGGATGGATGATTGATGAATGGGAACAGGTGGGTTGACAAGCAAACAGCAGGTAGAGCATACAGGAGACCTTAACAGTGACTGGAAAATTAAACTACAAAATCTGACTAAACTATTACCAGATTGTTTTGTTTTAGTTTAAAATGTGTGGCTTTAATACAAAACAGCAGTGCAGCAGCACTAACTGTTGGATAATTACGGTGGCCCTGAGGTGTCAATGAACAACATTTGAAAAAAAGAAATTATATAAAAATAAAATGCAAGAAAACAACTAAAACACAACATCCATCCATCCATTATCTTCCGTTTATTCCGAAGTCGGGTCACAGGAAAACACATGTGGAAAAAACAAAATTACATTGAAAAAAAAAAAAGTTTGAAAAAAAACAGAATTGCATTTGAGGAAAAAAAACTGAATTACATTTGAAAAAACAGAATTATATTAAGCCAAAACGAAAGTGGCCAAAGTGTAAGTGGCTGGAATTACATTTCAAAAGATGAAATTACATGAAATAACAAGTATGTATATATATATATATATATATATATATATATATATTCTCAATTAAAAACAACTGAACAAATGGTACATGGAACCCACATCCTTCACGTGAGTTCGTATATTGATACTGTACATTGTTCTGTTGTTCTTTTTTATCATGCTAATAATGTTAAAAAAAAAAAAATACTCCACTTACAGTTTGCCTTAATGTAATTAAGTTTTTTTTTTCAAATGTAATTCCGGCTACTTCCACTTTGGCTTAATATAATTTAGTTTTTTCAAGTATAATTCGGTTTTGTTTTGTTTTTTTTCAATATAATTATGTTTTTTCAAATGTTGTTGTGCTTTTGTTGTGTGTTTTCAAATGTAATTTCGTTTTTTTTTTCAAATTTTCTCCATTTACACCTCAGGGCCACAGTGGCCACGATGGCCCTGAGGTGTAAATGAACAGATAAGACTTATTTATTATATAAATATTTAATGAACAAATGGAAAGCAGTGCAGAGTGATAGAATCGCTTCAATATGAAAATCCCCATGAAGATATCTGTGCATATGCTGAAAGCATTGCTCTCTATTTAACTAAACTCATAAAATAAAATATACTGTATTATGGGCCTTCATGACCTTCTTGTAATGCAGATCATCTTTCTGCAAATGCGTTAAGGGGAAACGCGTTCTACTATATCGACCTCCCATTGTGCTTCGAGTTTTCACAATCCACTGCAGCGAGCTTTCAAACTTTAAACCTTTTTCTTTTCTGTTTAACTGATCGCCGACAGTAAATCAGGCTACTGCGATTTAAAAAAAAAAAAAAGAAGCTTTTTTAACCTTTAAGACATTTCATCAGACCAAATGTGCATTTCTTACAAGGTTATTTTCTTTAGATCATTTCTTTGTGATCTTTTCCTCTCGGAAGCCATTCTTCACCGACTCATTGTTAGCGAACGGATCTTTTATCTGCCTGAACTGAATTAATATAGTTGATGGGACAAACATTGTCAATCTGCCGGAAGAATAGAGCCGACTGAATTCAATCTCAGCAGACAATACCACGAGGAAAGCACCCAGAGGCACCACTTTTCTAAAGGTGTTTCTGTTTTGGAGAGGTTATTGGCCTCGACTAAAAGGTGATGCAGAGTTTGCTCTCATTAAAGCCAAAGTGTTGCTCCAAAGCTGGAGTAGTGTTTTTTTTTTTTCTGTAGCTGCTCTCCCGCCATTTATTTGGGTTATCTCTTTAATTAAACATGACTGATTTCATTTAGTCAGTCAAACTCACGACTTGTTAAGTTGTAGCTTTTGTCAAAGCTGTTTAATTAAAGGTTTTCGAGTGAATGTACTGATGACGACATTGTCCGACTTTTCTCCGATTAGGTGTTCTGAACATTCTGTGTAAATTGTTAAACTGTGAATAAATTATTATTTCTTGTCAATTAGGCCATTTTTAACTGGGGTTTTTGTAACTGTTAAAGTTAAATAATAAACCATTTATAAAATAAGACATTTAAATATGATATTTTTTTGTATAACTAGTTAAAAGATGATTTAAAAGACGGATAAAAGGGGATGAAAATATTGAGTAAATATGTTGTAATGGAAATGCTTAAATTTGTGAATTTTGGTTGTTTTGTTTTTAACGCAGCTTTATAAATCTAAATGAAATAGTTCTAAAGTGTACTTATTTTTAAATAATATAGGGCTTATTTGTTGACTAAAATAATATAAAAGAGTGAAGTGTTCAAATACTGTTTTCGTAATTATTGTTTTTTTTTTTTTTAATTCACTAAACTTTTTAAACTTAAAAAGCCTGTGCAGTTGTATAACGTCCGCTTTAAGTATGAACATTTAACCTTTGACCTTTCAGATTGTAACCAGTGAAATGTCTCTTTAAACTTTAAAGGCAACATTGATAACGAACGCCTGGCGCTTGCTAGACAGCGAATCCCATTCCGACTTGGTCGAGTAGTTGAAGATTGGCTACTCGACAAAGGTAAAATCACTGATTGAAATTTTAAATAAAATAAACTCATCATTAACCAAGTTGTAGCAGTCTTTTGTAAACAATAAACCTAAATAAGTAAATGTTTAGTATAACTTTAAAATAAAAAAAAAAGATTTGAGCAGTTAAATTCACATTGTAGTGTTTTTTTTTTCTTTTCATAATAATGTATTTACTGTTTAAATACATGTTTCCTTTATACTTACAGTTAAAGGGACTGTAAATAAGAATATAAATGTACTAACTGAGGTAAACAGTCATGCTAAAATGTTTATAAATTACTGTAGCATTTTGCTTTAAACATATGTGATAAATATAAAAGTTCTTGTTTAGCCATAGGTTATAAGTGTTATTTGAAACACTTATATGTACAGTGCAGTGCTTTACTTAAAGGTATTTGGTATAATCTGATTAAACTGCTAGCTGTGATAAATAGTGTGCAACATCAATTGGCAACAGATATTTGAGTCCCTTTAACAGATATTGTAACTATAGAGAGATTTAGATTAAAAAGAACAGTAATATAAATTATAAACTGAGTGCATGTTGTGTGTTTTAGAGTTCAATAACTAATTCATATTTTTTCTCAAAAAATGTGAATTTAGCCCTCCCATGTTTATGATTTGTTTATTTTCCTATGTGTTACAAAACTGGTGTCATGTATTTTTGCTTTTTTTTTTTTTTTTTCTTTTTTTTTTTTTTTTACTTATACGTTTATTTTAATCTCATCTGTTTTTTGTTTTTTTCGTTTGTTTGTTTGTTTGTTTGTTTTTTCACTTGGTTGCTTTGGCTAAAAAGGTTGAGTCCAAAAAAAAAAGATTAAAATTTTTGTTTATACTCATAAAAAGTCTCTCGTACAGTTTGCAGACATACTGTATTAGATAAATGTTTGTTTGTTTTGGGGGGTAGGGGCTTATTTAGAGAGTAATGGGAATTATGTTTCTGTAAATAAAGTTTGTAAATACATTTAAAAGAAAACAATTATGATAATCTAATAGTACACCATCTATTTTTATTTATTTTGATTAATAATTGTTTAGTTTTTAAGTAATTCCCTGCAAGCAGGCATTTTGTGTTAAATGTAATCAAACTTAAATGATTCCTGTAACTTGCCTTGATAAGGCAGCCACCAATCATTATCCACCTGATATGGGTTTCTTAACTTTATATCTTACAATTTCGTCAAGTTTAATGTGTCCCGAACCACAAAGTGTACCCCCACCAACATTAATTCAAAACGACAGGCTCGGCGCCGTGATGTGTGCTATTACTTTTATTGGCGTTTCAAATTACCATGGTAATGTAATTTGCAAACACGCCATTTTTATTAGTCATAGACTAGTTGCAAATCAAATATACAAGATGGCCACCTGAGCTAAAAAGAAAAAATAAATACTGTAAATCAGCCATTTTTTTAGGGACATTTTAAGCAGAAATTTGGTGATGCCCAATAAATAACGAATTTTAAAAAATAAAGGTGGCCACCAAAGCTACATTTAAATGGCTTTAACTCTGCTATTTTTACACACAGAGCTGAGATTTGGTGTGATTATAGTTGAGAACCGTCCCCATCACATACTGAATCCAAATCCAAAACCAAAGATGGCCGCCATAGCTTAAAAGAAAAAAAAAATGACTAAGTCATTGATAGTTTGCTGTTTAGAGCTGAAACATGGTGGTAGCTGAGAGCTGTCATATCAAAATTTAAAAATGGCTGCCACGTGGCAGTCCTCGTCGAAGTTTCTCCACCAGGAACGTTCCAGTCTTTTTTTGTTGTTGCTTGAGCAACTGTCCTTTTAGCAAAGCATTTTCCTTTTTTTTTTTTCCATTCATTTTTAATTTGTGCATTATTTTTTTTTTTTACGATCATCTCAATATTTTAACAATAAATTACAAGGGCTTGTGTCAACACCCCGTAATTTATTGACCTCTCTGGGCAAATGGTTATTTTTATTTATTTTCTGTTTGCTTAAAGTGGCCGAGTCCTCAGTTCATTTTCGTATGTATGCAACATTCTTTTTCCACAGGACGACAACTTACAATCTTCAACAGCCAAACCACCATACAGATTGGGGGCTGGGAACGAGATCGAAGTCGATCCTTTCAGGGCCAGCTTTCAGGCCTCTACTATAATGGCTTGAAGGTGTTCAACATGGCCGCTGAGGGTGACCCCAACATAAAGATCCAAGGCAGCGTGCGGCTTGTGGGAGAGTCGCCCTCGATCACGCCGCAGTCGAGTACCACAGCCAATCGCTCAGAGACGTCCACGTCCATCATGGAAATCACCACCACCACTGCATCCAACAGGAGAATCAAACAGACGACGCCGCGAGAGCCTCAGCAGGTAGGATCGTCTTTAAAGTCTTTGGATCTGTTTCCTTAATTGAGTCCACATGTTTTGATAATCTAGTTATACTGTATTTTTCAGACTATAAAGCGTACCGGATTATAAAGCGCATTAAGCGAAACAAAACAGTGAGAAGTCAAATTTTATTAAACTCTTTCACAATATCTCTCAACATTGTTCAATTGTACCACGTAAAATAGGTTTGAGGTCAGTAAGTGTATTAATACACAAGGCGCACTGGATTATAAGGCTCAGTGTCGATTTTTTTGAGAAAATTCAAGGATTTTAAGAGTGCCTTATAGTTGGAAATATACGGTACATTAATATGAGGAATATGTTTTATTTTCTCCTTAAACGTACTTAAACGAAAGCATGATCATGTGTACATTTCTGAGTATTCCTTCAGTTTACAGTAGAATATGGCAATATGAGGTCTACATGTCTGTGTTTGCGTATGTGCGTGATGCCATCCTAAAGACTCTGGATCGTCTATCTGTCCTGCATGAGAAGTGCAGCATCTACAGTGACACATTGCTTCTCAAGTCAGAAAGTGTGGACAAACAATGTCACGCAAAATATGAGTCTGATCCAATGAAGGAGTTGTTAAAATCATTGTTGCACTGTTTGGCAACAAAATATTACTTTTTTTGTTTTGTTTTCTGTTAAATACCATGGCATCCGGCTGCCTTGAAACGTATGTGCACATAAACATTAACGAAATGCTGTTTGAAATCATTTTTTGTAGATTGAATTTGGACAATATTTGATTCTGTCAGCCTGTACCCAAGCTGTTCTGGTAGAAACAGATCTATTGTGCAACAACCCATAAATCATAAAAATCCCTTTGTCTTTATTTATTAATTAGCTTATACTGAGTTAGGAAAACTAGATATTGAGAGCTTAGAATGATTTTTGCAATACAAATATGATCATAAAAGATGAAACATGTTTTCTTATTTCATATATTCCAATACACATTGGCAGGAAACGTATTTATGGATTTTTAAACATCATAGAGTAAAGTAGCCTTCATTACAAATATAGTTTAAAACAATTCTGGGTTAACATTATTTAGGATTAATCTTATTAGACGGGGGGAAATTGAACGTCACAAAGTGGAGGTGGATTGAACAATTCACTATACAGTAGTCCCTCGCTACTTTGTGGTTCGTTTATCGTGGACTCGCTCTATCGCGTTTTTTTTTTTTTTCAAAATAAGATTTGACATGACACAATTGGCCGATTGATGGACGAGCCACATGATCGGCATGGAATTTTTATTTAAAATAAATTATTTGAAAGTATTTAGCACCTCTGTGCAGCTCAAGCTGCAGGATAAACTTCCTGCTGCAGCTAATCAGCTGTTCTCCATGCAGAATGTGCGAAGTGGGCATGTGTATATGTATATATATATATATATGTGTATATATATATATATGTGTATATATATATATATATATGTGTATATATATATATATATATATATGTGTATATATATATATATGTGTATATGTATATATATATATATGTGTATATAT